TATATATAAACCTGAAAAATGGAAATATATTAATTTTTATTTTTTTTATTTTTTTTAGTAGTTATCCTTCAGATATACTAATATAAGGTTTTTGTGAGGTATAGCTTTTGTTCAGTGCGGAATATGCCGAAGAATTTTATTTTATTTATTATTATTATTATTATTATTATTGTTATTATTATTATTATTATTTTATACTCAACTAAATTAAAGTATGAACTTCTGGAAAAATAAAAAGGTTTACAATTGAATAAAAACAGAATATACAACGTTAAACACTCCTTTTCATGAATCTTTTTTTTTTTTTATCAAATCTACTTTTACGATGTCGAAGACTTGATTTCTTTCTTATCATTATCTTCATTATCTAACTAATATAAATATATCGGCTTGCAATCATCTAGATAGTCACCACTAATTAATAACCATCCCATTTAAACCCAAACCGAACCCTTATTCTGTCAAGAAAACCTTTGTTTCTAGTTGGTAAGCTTTTGTGAAGAAATTAGGCCAACAAAAATAAGTAGACATAATGCTACTCATGGTTGAAGCCCCAATGAGCATGTTCATAACCACCATTTGAAGTTGAATGGCTTCTACCGGAGAGGCTCCCCCCATTATTAGTCCGGTCATTGCTCCGGGAAGTGATATGAGACCCACAGTCTTTGTGTTGTCAATAACTGGTGACATTGCAATGACTAACGACCTTTTCACTTGTTGCAGTGTAGCTTGTCGTGGTGTGGCTCCAAGGGCTAGGGCTGTCTCCACCTTCACAATAGAAAACATAATGATTAATGAGTCGTTGTATTAATTGTGTGTTAGAAGACTGTTAAGCTAAATGTACATGTGTTGTATACTTCACTAAATTTTACATGTTATTACAATATTTGTATTTATTTGCAAAAATAAAAGTTTATTACAACATGTTTATATTTTTCTCCATAAAAACAACACACTTCAATTTTCTATGAATGAGTTGCACCTTGTTATTATCAGTTAAAATATGTGCTATTAATCTTTAAAATAAATATATAAATTATTGCTGTAATTTATATATTTATCAATATTTTAACTCTTGAATAAACGTTTTCTCCGAAATCAAATATACCTTTTCACTAACAAATCTTACACTAAAATGGGAGGTGGGAAATATCAAGATGAAAAAAAGACATAAAACAGATAATCGAAAACCAAATATAAAAGGTTGATAATCGGATATGCCCCCTTCTAAAAAAAGCCCTTATCATCTTCCAATCATAAAATTAATTATTTTGTATGTATGATTTGCTATAACCTAGATGACCGCTTTGGTTAGGTAGATAGTCATCAAAATTTCACATTTTTGTTAGAAAAAATAAGAGAACAATATATATTCAGTTATTAGTTGTGAGATCTATGTATTAAATGAGTTAATTTAAAAGAAAAAAGTTAAATACGAATGTCTAAATAATTGAGAACTTTGAATTTATAATAAGAAAAATAATGAATTATTAAAATTGAAATGTTTTTTATCTTTTAAATTTCAACAAATAATTTAAATAAATAAACAAAAGAAAATAACAAACTTTAATTTAAAAAGTTTGAATTTAAAGTTAAGCTTATTAATGAATTGATATCCATTTGTTATTATATTTATTGTAATTATTACATTAAAATATATGGTATTTATTAAAATAGGAAAATCATAAAATGATATGTGAAAAAAATTAATTCAAAATTACTACAAATTGACATTTGTCAAATTGAAAGAGAGCATGTCATGTGTCAAAAAATCTCTTTATTTATTAGGGATGATTTGTTGCAATTATTACCTTAAAATATATGGAATTTATTAAAATAAGAAAATACATAAAATGACATGTGAAAAAAATTAATTTAAAATTACCACAAATTGACATTTATCAAATAGAAAGAGAGCATCTCATATGTCAAAAAAATCTATTTATTTATTAAGGAGAAATTTTGTATACACATTCGCTATAAAATTGTATTTAGTTTTTAGAACAACTAACATATATATCCTTTAATCGTATACATAAATTTACATCTTTTGTTTATCTATAATAAGACTTGAATCATCAACAAGAAATACATCTTCATTACCTATATGGATAGACCAAAAATCTTTTTTTTTTATAAAATAGTTCAAAATATTCTTATACCCCAAAATAATTAAGAATTGCATAGTTTTAAATATGTAATGCGCTATTGTCTATCATATTTAAAGCATTTTTACACTTTTTTCTCATTTTCTATTGTTATCTTTTTAAAAGAAAACCTCTTTCTGTGAGTAACATATGTTACTGCACTATGAACTTTTCTTTCCTACACGAAAATGGTTTTAATATATCTCAACAAAAAAAATAACTTACTAAAATGTTTTTGTTTATAAAAAATATGATTTTTTTAAAGAATATGAACACGTTCACAAAAAAATTATTTGCATTTTATATTATTATTATTATTATTATTATTATTATTTTTAATATTTTTTAGTGTAGACAAAACAAAATATTATTTTGGTAGTGAACAATAATTTTCTCGTAGCTATTGCAAAATCTATGATTATTTTTTAAGCATAACAAAAAATTTAATTAGGCTATTTTTTAATACTAAATGTATTAAGCAAAAACTGCTAAATTAGTTTTTTCTAATTAACAGCCGATTAATTAGAAATGTATGAAGTATGAACTATTACGATCAAACCAATTGGCCGATTAATGAGTTTTGAAGCCATCAAACCATCAAATTTATAAACCAAAAGCATGATAAACACTAAATAACTTTAGATGTTTCTAGATTTTTTTTCTTTTTCTTTTTCAAACTATATAAAAGTTGATTTCTACATATTCACCGATACTTACCAAATTCATCTGTGTTCGAATATCGTCCCGAAGTCTTTTCATCGTAACTCCGGTGACAGTCATTGCGTTGCCAACCATCATCCCGGCGACCGGAATTATGTATTGTGGAGTGAAAGGAAAAACTTTTAACAAAACTAACAGCAACATCGTTATGGATGTGCCAACCATTATGGAAGCTCCGGCAATGTATTTCCCATGGGGTACGTGTTTGGCTCGCTGGCCGGCGGTATACCCGGCGACGGAGACCTGAAATAAACGTTGATCTTAATCAGTAAATTTTTCTTTATCTGTCAAAACAATTTTACTAAATTATAGATAGGAATAAAAAAGAGGATCAAAGAATATATATATATATATACCATGAAGAGATAAGCAAGAATGATCCAGATGACGTTGTTTTGATTGAAAATGAATCGAAGAACAAAGCCAATAACGGAGAGCTGAATGAAAGCTCTAACAATGGCGTAAACCATCTCTCCCTCTAGTTTCAGCTTCTGAAAGTAAGATAACACTGCCGCCAGCAACACCACCGCCGTGGCCGCCGCCGGTTTCACCATCCCCTTCAAGAACTCCGACAGCCACTCCCACTCCATATTTAAGTTTACTCAGTTTTATCCCCACATACATAAATACGTTGTCTCTCATGACATATATATAATGGAGAAAGAGTTGGGATTTGAGAGTTTTGCCAGCAGTAATCAATTCCACGTCTACCTACCTACAAAGTTTTTTTTTTTTTTTTTTTTAAAAAACATATCCGGATTATTAAAAATCAATTAATTATTGAGTTTTGATTTTAAAGATCCTTCAATTTTTTATTTTTATTTTTTCACTTTCTAGGGTGATAAAGTCGATTTTTTTTGGGTTAAATTGGTTATTTTTTAAAAACTGGGTAACCAGGTTACCTCTTGTCTTGTCATTAAATGAAGTGTTACATAGAAAAGTGAGGTGTCCGCATGGTGGCGTCCACTTCGATAATTCTATTATTTTTTTTATATGAAGAACAAGAAATCTAGGTGATGAAGTTCGTTCATCAATCCTTCACCATCTAGCTATGGTTTCATTTGCACCACCCACAAGCTTCTAACAGATAACGAATGAACATTCAAAATCATCTTCATCTTAAAAAAACCATTCATACCATCTTCATCTTTAAACTATCAATAAATCGAAATAGAAAATTATGAGAATTTAAAAAAAGAAGATGAAGAAAGAATATACAAACCATGTTCATCTACGACTTTGAAAATTTAAAAAAAGAAGATGAAGAAAGAATATACAAACCATGTTCATCTACGACTTTGAAACTAAAACCGTTCAAATTAATATAGTTTAAGATAAGCCATCTATTTTGAACTATATTCTTTTGAAATTTTAACAACTTTTCATTTTATGATATTTGATAGATTGGTTAATTGAAATATTATATAACTCCTAGGACTTTTCAACTTATACTAATTAATTGATTAGTTAATTCAAATATTATGTCTATAAAAGAACATTATTTTTATTATAGGTTGCTTACATTTGCTTCTCTTCTCTTTCTCATTTTGTATATAGAGTTTATGAAAATAGAGAATAATGTAAATATAGAGCGAATTATAAAGCGAAAGATGATTACAAATGATTTAACATATACAATATGTAACTACGTAGTTTATTGCATGTAACATTTGATTACTAATATCTGGATAATAATAATGTATTTTTCTTTACTCTTTCGACCTCTTTTTTCTTTGATCTTCCTTAAATTTCAAGAAAATATTTATGATTGTAAACTTCAAGCCAAACGACAAGGATGAAACGCTTTCAGTTAATTATTACAATTTGTTGATGTAGAATTATTTGTGGTATATATTCGTTGCATACACCATTTCAGTAATTTATCATAATTATCTAATTATATTAATTGCTTATGTGTAAGGATAGAACTTAGTTAATGTCTTAGGTTTTCTTTAGATTATGATAATCACAACAAATACAAACAAATATGTTATTCATATTTTTCAAGCATCCAAAATCTTTTTTGTGACGACTATACTTACTAGATCATTTTCATGACAATTATACTTACTAGATCATGACATACTTTAATAAATGAGTTTTTATTTGTAATAAGAAAAAAAGACAATGATATGATCATTCTAAATTCATATAAAGACATGAGGTTTTAGAAAAAAAGCTTGTTGGAAGGTCATAAACGAATTGTTCATACATACACTAATCATAAAGTATGTTATTTTGTATTTAAAAGGTTAGAAAATGTTTTTTATGTAATTGAAAAATATTAAAAGACTTAGATTTTAAATTAATTAACAATGATAAGTAACATTAAATAGAAACTTCTGTTATAATAAGTATATAAAAAAAGTCATGTTAACTTAAAAACAATAATTGGTATTTGAATATATATATATATATATATATATATAT